AATCCATGAGTTATGAGGAAACAGAGGAAATAAATTGATTTAGTCAAATTCCGACACAAATTTGGCACATGAGAGACCCAATTTGCTTTGTAAATGACCAAACTATAAGCTAAAACACAGCCACAACATACAGCACAATATAGCACAATATTGAAATGTATCCCCTAATGTAATCTCATGAATACAAAAGGAATTCATGAGTATTAATAGCATTTAGAGGATGTAAAATGATTTAGTCATCTTCCGACACAAACATGGCACAAAAAAGCCGATCTGCTTTATAGATGACCAGATGAGAAAACATAATTTATATCAACAAAAAAAAATATTCAGAATTTACAAACATGAATCTCTTTGAAAAATATGAATATTATCTTGATAAGAATGAATAAAACAAAGAGGAAGAAGCTAGTGGTTAGAAAGTGTGCAGAGTTTTTATCAGAGTGATTTTTAGGGTTTGTTCAATGAAATTGAGAAATTGAGAAATTGCGATACTTATAAAAGAAGATCTTGCAATGCATATACGCCGAATAAGACCGGCTGTAAACCCTAATTTTGGGGTTTGGGTTTCGGGTCATGGGCAGATGGAATAATTAGTCCAGCCCAAATACAAGCGATCGGTGATGGAAATTGGTTTTCATACCCCCGTCTTTTTTCCTATATGTCCCTTAAGATATGATTACTAATTTCAAATACATCTTTTTAGGAATTTTTTTATTTTTTACTTTTGTTCTTAAAACTAGAAATTTGCTCAATTATATTAGTTGTAGTTTTTTTTTTTATTTAATCAAGAATCTTATCTTTTTTCATATGAAAGTAAATAATGTAGAACAATCTATTATGTAAAGAATGGATTAAAGCATTTATAATATATAAAAGAGTGCACAAGAAAAGATTTACATATAGTCTATAGAGAAGTGAATGTTCAAAGCAGAATATGGTGATTATTATAAGATGAGATGTCAAGATAGAGAGAAAAAAAATAGAGAAAACTAGAATTGGAATGTGAAATAAGTGGGTGAAAAATAAGAAGTTTGGTGAAAGTTCAACTACAAAATTATCTAAAAAATATCAAAGTGTGAGTTCGGTAATCCGTTAAAGTGAAGTGAAAACTTCACAATTATGAGTTAGCTTACTTATTTATTAATCATTCATTTATAAATTGTATAAAAGAATCGAGGCAAGAACACAGGTCTACGAGTTGACAAAGTATAATGATGCATTTGAGATCCATATTGAATTTATGCAAGATTAAAACAAGGACATTCAAAGTAATATTAACCATATTTATAGTATTTGGAATATAATTTTGATATCTTTGTGAAATGTTGAGACTAAAATACAACATTTTATGAAAATGATTGAAGTTAAGAAGTATTTGTGTTAGAGTCGAAAGCGTGAAGACTCCTTTGTCATGAGCAACTGCTTTCGAACACATTCAAATTTCATAAATTTGTTGAATATGTTTTCTATTTAGTTGGTACTTGACATTAAATGTTACAAAAATACATAAAATGTTTAATTAGATTTTTGAAATTCTTTTTTATAAAACATAAGCATGCAATATAACATAGAGTTGGTCGCTCCTACAAATGACTTAAAAAGAGGTATATATTGAATCTTTGGACAACCAAGTCACTAAACTAGGCACCTTCTTATCTGTTGTCAGAAAGGAAAAGTTGATCACTCTATTAAGAAGTGTTGTTCCTTTTGATTAACTGCATTAGCTAAAATAACATATGTATAAGATGTATTTTGTGCATACGTAGCATGTGAAACACGATGATCCAACATGTGTTCCAGCATATGGCTTGTTAGCTAGATTTTATGAAGAAATCTGATTGTGATTATGTTTGTTTATAAGAAGATTTGTTCAAACCTAATTTCTGCTAAAGTGCTTGATATAACAACTTGGTTATAAGCAAGATGATCAGCACGTCTTGCGTGACATCTTTGCATAAGAATTATGTTTTTGTTATCTTCAAAATTGTGATGTTAATTTCTTTGAAAGATGCAAATGTTTGCTTTTGGAAGAAGTTTGTTAATCCAAACTAATTTAAAAACGGTTTTATTAAATCATGAATATGGATTATATGATTTAATTAAAAGATTTGGATTTGATTCAGTCAAACAAGATTTAATTGAATATACTTGGAAGGAAGATTTGGTTCAAATTTAATTCAAGATTTAATTGATAAAGAAGATTTAGATGAAGAGAACTATTTTGGATGTTTTGGTGCAACATGTGGAACATGATGTTCTAGCATGCGTACAGTGCAGTATCTGGTCCTTGCCAGAAGGCCATGATGGATGTTGTTAGGTGTGACTTTTCTTATTAGATTTCAATCTGATTTTTCAAATTGCTTATCAATATTTGTTTGACAATTGTTTGAAGATCAAATCAATTTAAGTAGAGATTTAAATTTGAATTTGAATTAATAACAAATCATATGTTTAGTTGGAGACTTTTATAAGGCAAATCAAATCCAACTATATCATATATAATTCTGGGGAAAATCAGAGTTGTTAATGTCCATTGAATAAACTCAGAATTAGATTGCTATTTAAGGAGACTCAAACCTCACATCTGAGGTGTGCATGTCTTGAAGATTCCTTCTATTAGGATTTATCTTTTGAGTCTTTGTTTGTGTTATTTTTGTGCACCACTTCAATGCCTTCATTTATATCTTAATTTATAATCTTATGAATTTTTTTTGAAGAATATTGTATAGGTGAAAGGCACGTAGATAGATGTGGGGAGAGTCACATGAATAGGGATGGCAACGGGGCAGGGCGGATGCGGGTTTAACTATACCCGCACCTACACCCGCTTCCGTCCCAAACTCAATCGGGTGTACAAATTTACTGCTCAGACTCACCCCCAGTGGAGAACGGGTTTAACTATATAAATTATTTTATTTTTTTCAATTTTAGCTCTATAATCCAGAGTTTTTTTTTTCATAAGTTGTCTCTAACAAATAGTATCATCAAACTTATATTAATAAATAAACTTGAATGAAACAATAAAAACAAACATTTAGTCTTAATTATCTTTTAATTTGTTAGTCTATTTAACATTAGTTGAATTTATTATTTACAAACGTTCAAATGAACTAGGGTTTTAAATAGGCTAGTAGGTCAATCATATTTAGGCCTAAAAATAAGCATATGATAGGCTATAGGTCAAGTTTAAGCTTTGAATTTTTCAGCAGATCAAATTCAGACTTGGAAAAGACTAGTTCGGCCCAGCCTATTTCCACCCCTAAATTGGTGGATAAAAATTAGAAATGACAAAACGAATCATCTGCTACGCCAAGTGAAAATGAGCATAAAAATCAAGTTCACTCCGCCAAGTTGACGGACGGCGGACTTACCCGACTATTTTTTTACATACTTTTAATAGATTAATAGTCTTATTTTTATATTTCAATTATATTATTTATTTATTTTTTAAAATATATTTTATAAAATATCTTTTAAACAAATTTTACTTTAAAAAATATTTCTTTTCATTTTAAAAATATTACTTCCTCCTCAAGACCACTATAACTTTTGTATATTAATTTGTTTGAGCAAGTTAAAGGGCATGAGTCAATAGTAAAAAGTATGGAGTAGTCAATGTTGAGGTGGGCGAAATTCATAAACACGATACTGATTTGCATTATGTGTTCTGAGAATTTTGTAAGCAAATGAATTTAAAAAGATTTAAAAATTACAACTATTAGAAGTGATCGTAGTGGATTTGAATGTTTTTTTGAGCAAATGTTATTTTCCATAATTTATCGTATTCTATAACTCCACAACAAAATAAAAATGTAGAAAAAATTAAACTTATTAGTGAGATGGCCAAAACTCTAATCGAGTAAAATGTTATACACTTACAGGTCTATGCTATAAATATTGTGGTATATTCAAAATATGTTCTATATAAGAATTTCAATCATTAATTTAGTCTTCTTTTCTATGTATAATTTGTATACTATCATTTGAACATTTTAGTTTGCAAACAACATGAACCAACAATACGATTAGGATTCATATATATATATATAGATATACGATTAGGATTCGATTAGGATTCTTGTATGTAGATATTTGTAGATTAGAATATTCATAAATAAAATAAATATGTATTTAAATACTCATTTATTAATAGATATAAATTAAATACTCATTTATTAATTGACTCAATGGATATCCATTAATAAATTATTAAAAGAAAACATTTAAGTATCATTAATTTATTAAATTTTATCTTTTTAATTTCTAAAAAAATTAATCTTTTATATATATTTTTTAAATTTTTCTTTAAAAAAACCATTAAAATTTCATTCAAATTCTATTAATCATTATATATTTTAACTCCTCAATATTACCCACATCACTTCAACAATTTTATAATCCAACCAACAAAAGTTTCATTACTTTGATCATTTACTTTGTTAAATCAATATTTCTCTTCCTACTCATCTCAAATCTAGAGTCTACTTAAAAATTAAGCATTGAGCATAATAAAAATCGTGGCACAAACCTCCCTGTAGCTACTTAAAATTAATCCGTCGAGCAATCAAAAAACCAGGAGATGCACTTGCGCAGCACACAAACTCACTTGGAATTTGAAAAACTTAAGATTGTCATAGGCAACAAATGGAAGCAAAACTTTGCTCTAAATGTTTGGAAACTATGGTACAGCAAACCACATTCTAGCATCAATATTCAAGCACACAAGAGCTTTTTTAGTACACCATATAACTAATTTGTCAATTAAATCAAAATGCTAGCAATTATTAGCTCTAAGAAAAAATGAAAACTTGGGTTGTTTAAGACATGGGTATTAAAAAAGAACAATCAATGCTTAAAATACTTGCAACTGAGTATAACAATTTCTTAACAATCTGAAACTACAAAATTTGGGAGACCGAGTCTTTGACACAATGAATGTAACAAGAGTCAAACCATGTGCTTAGCTAATTAAAAACTTCAAAGCAATCAAAACATTTTTAAGCAACAGGAACTGGGACAGGGACCTCAATATCGTTTGCCACAACAGCAGCAGGCCGGGCATACTCTTCCTCTTCCTTTGGAGTGTGAATTGTGACAATATCAGGGAGGGGAGTTTTAGGACCTTGCTTACCTTTAGGATCCCAATCAAGCATGATCTTTACCTTGATACCTAGAACACCCTGCATCACAATAAGGAAAATACTATTAGTAATATAAGCAAATGATAACTTCAATTGTTGTCAGCAGTCAGCACAAGAAAATCAATCGAGTAGATAGATCATAAGCAAAAACCTGTCTAAGGAGCACATGTCTCACTGCAGAGTCAATGTAGTCCTTGACTGGCTGTCCAGAAGAAATCATGTAACCATCCTTGAACTTCATGGACTTGGCTCTTTGGGCTCTTAATTTTCCACTGACAATAACCTACTCAAATGAAACAACAATTACAACCAGTCATTATAGAAAGCAACATAACAAACAGGAGTTTAGAGTTGTTAAAGTATAACAAACCTCGCAACCCTTGGCACCACTCTCCATGACGAATCTCAAAACACCATAGCAAGCCCTGAAACAAATAGATAACAATACAGTTTATTGTGTTATCGCAAACATACAAATAGTATAGTTGTTTCATTTAAGAAAATAAAAATCCAAATTTCGTTCTAAGCTACTGGCTTGAAATAAACACCAGTCACGGGAAAATGGAAATGTGTCTGTTATAGAAGGACATAATTAAGATTTGGACCTAGCACATACATTCTCCAAAAAGTAGACCACCATGAAACAATAGTTGCAAAGTAATTGTGCTATTTAATATTAGATTATGTTAACTAAAGGAAATTTAGTGCAATATAATTAGTCATCAAATAAGGTAGGAATAAAAAGATAAACATGAATTCAATCTTACAAATCAACCTAAAAAATGAGCCAGAGGTCAGACAGTAAGCAGACAACACGTTATGAGGAAAAGGTCTGTAATGTTTTGAACGAGAGAAAATCATGCTAAAAAATGGTAAGTGACCTGTCTAATATTCAAACAAAATATCATGTAGTCACACGATGAGAACAACACCCACGTGAGTTAAGACTCTGTAAGGAAGTCTAGTTTAAATCAAGCTAAAGACTTATCATAGTCCCAAAGAAAAATGCAGAACGCAATTTAATCTCACAAGTACACAGTCAAAATTACAAAATCAAAAGAAACAGACTCCATTATTATATATTGCCTTTCATTAGAAAGGCTTAACTGACTCCGGCTGACGGAGTAATTTATGGGTTTCCACTATTGGATAAATCATAGTATAAAATCAACCAGCTTTCCACCATGTCAAACATAATCAAATATGGTGGTACCAATTCATAAATAGAGAGAAGAAATTCAGTTCCAACAGCTTCTCCATGTTATGTTTTGGAATAACATAGGCTCTTTCAATAATCAAATTGAAGTAGTAGCAATATACAGCACTTTGAGATTCATTTCGCAGACAAATCTGTAATTAAAAGCACATAATATACTCCGTATGTACCTGCGGACAGCAAGACCGCCAAGGAGTTTGTAACGAAGAGACTCAGCCTGAGCAATGGCACAAAGTCCTCTGTTGTTAACCTTCTCAGCATAAAGCTCCACGCTGTTCTCGGGAAACTTAAACCTCTTCTGTACCACTGAGGTAAGTTCTCTAATCCTCCTTCCTTTCTCACCTAAATATCATAACAATCCAAAACCAAACAACAAAAACCATAAACCATACAACATTGTCATTTATAACAAGATTAAAACCCAACATAAAACCAGAAATCATAAATCCATTTATAACATTATTATATAGCATATATAAAACCAAAAATAAAAATTTATAATCATTATCGTATATTCAGATTCAACAAATCAGTTAAAATTCGAGTATTGATGAAACCACTTACCAAGAACAGCTTGGGTACGAGTAGCTCTGATGATGATTTCAGTGCGCATCGGGGTAACCCTAACCTCAACACCTGAATAACCGTCCTCGGCCAACTCTCTGGTCAAAACTTCATTCAATTCAGCGAAAAAAACTCCGTCTGCGACGAACTGCAACACAAATCAAATTAAATTAAGTATTACTAACAAATACGAATTCGAATACGATAACGAATCGTGACACTAACTTTTCGCTTTTTGCTCATTTGTGTCGCCATGATTGAGAAACGGAAGAAAAACTGCTATCCGCAGCTATGGAAGGGGAGAGGGGCACAAATGAACAGCTACCGCAAAAACCCTAGTGTTTGATGAGTGCTGAAAAACTGGTAAGATGAATTTATATGGGATTGTGGAATGGCTTGATCAATCCAACGGTGACAATAGTTTTAGGCAATCGACGGATGATATATTACCTTAATTTATGATTAAAAAGGGATTTTAACTTTTTTAGGTTTAATTATTTTGTTGAGTAAAAAAATGTCTAATTGTTTATTAGCCTCTCCAATCTCCACTTTAAAACTTTATGAATCAAAACAAAATTGAATTCTGAACTTATCCAAAAAAAAAATATATGTTTAAATATAATTTTAAAATAAATGTAATTTAAAAAAATGCAAGAGAAAAATTTTAATAGTAATTAATTTTAAAATATAGATTTAAATACAATCAACTGGCAAAATGATTTTAAGAACCATTTTAAATTTATATAAAGTTCAATAGTTCGAAGCCCAATCTCTTTTATTGATCTTAATTCTTCTAGCACACTCAAAAGTTTGACAATATATGTACTACGAGAATTCAAAAATATCTTGTGAAGCCTCTAAGCCATTCACTAGTACAACTTATTAAAAAACACCACATCCAGATTTTTAGCCATTTTGACTAGCTCCATCTGTGTTCAATCTCACCCAACCTGAAGGATGGGGAGTCTGTCTTATTTTCTTAGTATTTTAAGCTAACTTTATTTTACTACCATGTAGCTTTGCTGTCAAAAATTACTCATGAGCAATTTTAGTAACATGTCGCCACAGAATTCTAAGTCTCAACAAAATTGCATCGTGTTATTCCTTATTCCTCCACATCCAAAGTACATGGCAGGAGGATGGCCAAAGTTCTTACCACGACGAATATCCACTAATACCAAAGTCTAAATACAAATTAGTATTCATTCATCCTTAATATTACTAGTAAAAAGAGAGCCTTTCATATCCAACTTACCCACATTAATCAAATAGCAAAAGTCAAAGAAAAGTCACTTAAGACATGTATAATGGATCTCACCCTAGTTCCATAATTACTATAAAAAAAAGCCCTCCTAATTGCATTATGTACTTGTCAAAAGTATAATAATGTGTGGTAACCCATTAGCTATTAGGCATGACTAGAGGTGTTAGAAGTTTTCTGGTGATTATGGCTTGTCCGCGACAGCGAGTGACCTTGTTTAGTGGTGTTTATGGTGGGGAGGAAGGGTCGGCTCACGTGAAGTGAGAGACACTATATTTATGATTGGTAAGTTATGATATGTCATTCTCTTCTTCTATGAAAGAGGTATTTATAAAGATATTTTGGATCTAGGGTTCCATTAGGAATGATAAGTGCCCCCTCGGTAAATAATGGACCGTTAAATCTCCATTTCCTATAGATACGTGGATTATACTATTGACCTTGAATTGCCTTTTCCTGAGGAACGTCTTTTGCAATGTTTCCCACGATTGGGTGAGTAAGGAATATCTAGGGCAAGGCGGTCCCTAATAGAGGGTGGTAGATCAGAGTCGGCCCTTAAGATCAATCAGTAGTCCTCCCACCCTTAATAGATCTTTCTATAAATATTTCACTACAAAGTCCCTCGAGCACAAAGGCTTTGATAAAGGGTGAAATGATATAAGCAATTAGGCTTTGGGAATATCAGTTTGAGGGGATCCAAGTCCCTCAGGCTAGACAATGAGCCCCTTCGAAGCAACTCAGATTAAGCCATCATACAAGACTTTACTTAAAGTCTTTTGAGTCATATTTGGTCGCAGCCCTTGGGCAAAGCTTCAAGCTAGATTTAGATCGATAAAGATTTGAGTTACTCATGTGGGGCATTTGAGATAAGGATGTTTGATGGGACTCTTAGTCCCTCAGTTAATATTATATATTGGGCTTTTACTAATGAGACTTTGAGTCTCTCAAGTGAGGCATTTAGCCCTTTAGGAATGGACTTTTATCAGCCCCTTAGAAAAGACTTTAAAGTCTCTCGAGCCAGACTTCAGTCGCACCCTTTAGATTAAACTCTAAGTCATATCCCACCCGAGGGAACTCCAAGTTACCCAAGCGGGTGGTTTGTGATAAAACTGTTTGATGGGGCTTTTAGTCCCATATGCAAGATTATATATTAGGTCTTGAATAACGAGACTATAAGTCCCTCAAGAAAGGAATTGAGACCGTTGGGGCAGAACTTCTATCAAGCTCTCATACGAGACTTTAAAGTCTCTTGAGCCAGGTTTCAGTCACACCCCTAGATCTAAACTCTAAGTTAGATCTTGTCTGAGAAAACTCCAAGTTGCTCAAGCATGGCATTTGAGATAAGCGTGTTTGATGCGAATCTCAGTCCCTCATGCGAGATTATATATTAGACTTTGACTGATGAGACTCCAAGTCCCTCAGGCGAGGTATTGAGCCCTTTAAGGCGACACTTTTATAAAGCCCTCATACAAGACTTTAAAGTCTCTCGAGCCAGACTTCAGTCACACCCCTTGGGTTAAACTTTAAATGAGGCGATTTCTAGTGGATTGTATGATTATATTATCCAAAAAGGTAGCAAGGATCTTCTTATAGAAGTTCCCGCATTTGTATTCCCTTAAAAGGCGGCGGAAATCTTCCTTTGGAAGTCCAACATAATTACATCGCTTGAAAGGGCGACAATGATCTTCATATGAAAGTCCATAATAGTTGCATCTCCTGGAAAGGTGACAAGGATTTCCCTAAGGAAGTCCAATAGTGTATTACACCGTAGGGCGACATGGATCTTCTTGTGGAAGTCCAACAATGTATTACAATGATCTTCATGTAGAAGTCCAACAGACATGGCACCATAGCCAAAATGATTTATCCTGCTCAAAAACATTCAAAAATTTATACATAAACAGGCGACTTGCCCCTTCAAAAATTACAAATAGTCTAACTATAATAATATTTCAAACGAACAAAGTGTCAGGTATTATGTATGAGTCGTCCATCCAATTCAGACAGCTTGTATACCCCGTGTAAGAGCTCGTGGAATACCTAATACAGTCCCTCCCAATTAGGGTACAACTTGCCTTAGTAATAGGTCACCTTTTTGCATTTCTTTTGGTACTATGTTGGAATTGTGTCTTCTAGTAGCTTTGTGTTTGGTAACGAACACTTAGATGTGGGTGACATCCCTTAAATCATCAACCAAACTTGTGACACGCTTTGATCTTGTATTGTTCATCTCCAGGTTGAATCGAGAGTGATGCCGCAATGTGTCGATCTCCATAGGCATCATAATGTCTACCTCATATACCGTGGAAAAATAAGTCTCCTTGGTAGGTGTGTGGGGCGTTGTATGGTATGAACATAATATTTAACGAGTAATTCCACCCACAACCCCTTGGTGCCATCAAGCTTATTCTTGATTCCCTTCAGAATTACCTTATTCACTAACTTCGCTTGTCCATTGGCTTATAGGTGTATAATGAAGACGAACTTTGTTTGAAATACTAACTTGCACTAAAAGTAAATGACTATGGTGCTAGTGAATTGGGTTCCATTATTAGAGACATAACATAGGCAAGTCTTAAGCGGCACATGATATTTTTTCCAATACAAACGACAATCTCTCTCGGCTATGATTTGGGTGATAGCTTCCACTTCTATCCATTTTATGAAATAATCAATGCATACAATAAAAACTTTAGTTGCCCTAACTCTTGGGGGAACGGGCTTAAAATGTCCATCCTCGCCGGTAAAAAGGTCAGGGGGATGTCATGGAATGAAGAATTTCAGCTGAGGCATGATGGAGTTCAGAGTGTCTCTAACATTTATCATATTTTTTTTACAAAGGCCACATTAGCCTTTAGTAATTGGGGCAAATAATATCCCACCCTGGTAGCTTATGGTGAGGGCTTTACTTCCAATACGATTGTTGCAAACCCCTGGTGGACCTCGATGAGGACTATGGAAATTTCATGCTCCCCTAGACAATTTAGCATTTGGAAGGCTCTTCCCATCTTATAAATTTTTTTGTCTTCCCATCTTATAAATTTTTTTGGAGAGGAGGGTGTACTTTGCAGCCTGCTTCCAAATCTTATTTGTTTCCCCTTCAGTATATTGTTGGGGCCTTCTAAGATTATTCCAGCGCCACTCCCATTTATGTTTTAGGCTCAATCGACCGATAGTGTCCACTCTGATGGAGCTTCCTCCTCCATTAGCAAGCTAAATTTTTCCAAGAAATCTTATAGAGCTTGGGACTTGATGCTTCATCTTGGTATATATTGGATGTCATGCTCTGATAGTTCCACCAAAGACACCATTCTTCCCATCAAACATGGTTTCTTCAGGACCTGTCAAAAAATATAATAGGTTTTAACAATGACTTTATGTCCTTGGAAAATAAGGTTGAAGCATCTCACCGCGACAACGATAACTAAAGTCAGCTTCACAATCTTTTGATAATGTTTTTTAGTGCCATTGAACACTTTCCTTACAAAATACATAGGCCTTTCAGTCTTATTTCTATTCTGAACGAGCATTAAGCTCATTTCCTGATTGGTGATTGAAAGATAGAGGAGCAGTGACGATCCTTCTCTCGAGTGAGTGAGGATAGACGGTGACGTGATGAAAGAGTTTATTTTTGAGAAACCTTCATTACACTCTCTAGTCCACTTGAACCTTTTATTCTTCTTCAGAGCGACGAATAAGAGCAAGGCCTTGTCGCCCGCATAGGAGAGGAAACAGGATAGTGCAGCCAGACAACCTGCATGTTGTTGAACTTCTTTGACATTAGTGGGGTTCCTCATGTTGATGACAACCTAGAATTTGTATGGATTTGCTTCAATGTCTCTCTTTGTCAGCATGAACCCTAAGACCTTTCCTGCTTGTACCCCGAAGGAACACTTGGCGGGATTTAAGCGCATATTGTACTTCCTGACTAACTGTAAGACATATTATAGGCCTGCAACATGGTTGTACCCTTCGGCAGTTTTCACTATCATGT